ATAAACCGAGGTACAGTATTGCAGAAAGTGTTAAATCGAAAATAATTTCTCCTTACTCATTGGTCCTCAGTGCCGGGTCCTGGCAAAATTTAATGCTCATTATCGGCAAATGTTGGCGTATTTTATGAATGAAAAGTTCGTGCGAGGTACGTTAAACAATAATTAATCAAACATACAAACATTTATTAGTTTTAAAAATTTGGAAAAGGAAAATTGTAAATAAGCAAACTTTGAAACTTACTCTTCTAAATCAGTGAGGACTTTTTGGACTTTCTTATTCATCTCAACATTGGTGTTCCTACTTTTCTTAATATTTTCGTAAAGATAGCTGAAATGCAAAAGGTTATTTGAATAGTAATGTATTATGGTTTTTTGGCATTGAAGGAATATCATAATTGCTATCATACTTACTCGTAACGCTCTTTGTCTAGCTTTGAAAGCGATTCGAGCCATTTAATTCCATAATTTGTTTCGAATTGATAATGAATATTTGCAGCACATAATTCCTGTAGATATTCAATTTTATTTTCTAAAGTCCATCTGGATTTGTCATATTTGTAATGCAAATACATAAACATAGATCCCGCAGTAGCAATAATGGGAAGCGTGAAGGGACTTAAAGCCGCAAAAGCACATCCGGCCACAGTCGCCCCTAATCCTCCCATTTGAAGAACTGCTCGACCAGTTGACTAAAAAAAGAAAAAAATAATACCAAGTGTTACTCAGACTTATTATTTGATACTTAATTTTTTCCTAGCTCTGATAACAATTTCTGACTTTCTCATTTTTTCATTGTATATGTATTATCGCACGATAGCTATGCATATTAGCATGTATTGTTGTATTAAACATTTACTGTAATAAAAGAATCCATTTGATTATTACTTTCGACTGAGGATAGCAAATTTCACAGTAACGTGTAAGTCTGCCATGAAATCTGAAAATCAGAATGGAATATAAATCTCCAACCTCTCAAAGCTAAAATACATTTTTATGACATTTGAATTATTATAAATAATTAGTTATCAGTTCGTTAATTAATAAGTACTTTCAACAATCCTTCCAAAAGAACACAGTCAACATTTCGGAAAAACGAAAACGGTGCATTTTTATAAAAACTTATTTTTTTATTTTCGAGGTTATAATGTATATCATACAGTATATCACAGAGGATTAAAGTACAGTGTCACGAGCTCATAAGTATATATTAGTCTGATCCTGATCATGATTTATTAAAAAAAAGACTTGAAATAACTTCTAATGGCAAATAATTATTATTTAGTGTTTTAACCTATTTCGAGTATGCAGAATCCGAAAAATATGCTGGTCGTCATGAAAATGACGTTAAAGAGGTCAAAACAAGGATTCATAATGGCGGACATCCTATTTTTCTAATTTTCTCTTAATGTCGTTCAAAATGGAGAAGTACTGAGTGAACATCTTACTGAGTGTAATAAAACTATTAAAAAAATATAATAGAATGCTAACATCATTAGTTAAACTCATAGAATTTAATCTTTTCTACACTTAATTCGAACTTTCTCTAATTTATTTGTCTATTGTTTCTTTATTCTTCTTTATTCAAGATTTTACATTTGCAAACATCAATACACTGCAGATCAGTATTTTTCCTCTACATCTCACTATTCTACAATTGAATGATGGTGCATCTGTAAGTTAAAAATCAAAGGTGGATATTCCTGTTTTTCAAATTATTATTTAATGATTTTTACATAGGAGAAGGGATTTGCAAATATCTTATTGAGTGACGTACAACTAAGCAAAATTACAATAGAACACTAATATGATTACTTTAAATTGGAAAATTTAGTCTTTCAAATTTAAAATGTGTTATTTAGCTCCAAATGGCATTTCAAATGACCTTTAATACACTCGATTACGTAAAATACTCAAACTGCTTAATTCTGATTCGTTTTGCAGAAAATATATCATAGGTTTTTCTTTATTCCCGAAATAATGTTTAAATATGTAATGAAAGCTGGAGGATATTTTCGATAATGACTTTTATAACACGAATTTTTGTTTAATTACTTCTAATATTAAGATAAATTTTGACGACAATTCCGAAGACATTTTACCTATTACCTGACTTATCATGCTTCTTCATATAAAAATTTTATAATACCACAAAATAATTGCTGTTTTGAGGATAATATGAAAATTAAGCTACCCAAAGAGCAGTATTCCCCGAGCATTAAGGAAAGTGAACATTGTAGTTCGAGGGCAGCTAAATCATATCTCTGATCTATTTTTAGTCCAGTGTAGAAAAAAATAAATGTTTATGTTCAAGTGGAAGGTCTAGTGCAACATGACTTAGTATGATTTTTAAAATGATGAACCGCGACCAATTTGAGGGTAGTAATTGTCACATCATATAAATCTGAATATATTTAAACATCCAAATAGAAACATATTTATTCATAATTATCAGTATAATATAAGTAAACCATAAGTTTTCTTGATTGTCCAGCTCTGATTATGTGTCCCTACATTTGCATTTTGTTATTCTCAGTCAAAAATTCTACTGCATTCTAAAATATTTCATGTTGTGAACAGTCCTCCCCGACCAATTTGTATTGAACAGTGTATATAAATTTAAAAAAAAAATTGAAATTTGCAAAATCCGAAAGAAGAAATGTTTGTGCTCAATCCTCCCTCGATTCTTGATAGAACCTTACACTATCCTAACAAAGAAGTGTGGATCAAATTGCCTTCGCAGTACAGTTAAGGTGCGCAATGGAAATATCATCTAAATTTTGTAGTTAAAAATGTATTCGTAATCGGGATGGAGATTATTTTTATTACATTATTTATATCGGATAATTGTAATTATGATTGATAACTACGTATCAAGGACGATTATGTTTAATATTCAGACTAGTCACGTGATGCGGCAGTTACGCGATTTTAGCACATTGACTTGAAGCATTGATGTTACGTATAAATATCACTAGTGCAAGGGCATAACCAAGTAAAATTTCCAAGCTTAGTATATAAATATTTTCAACACGCATTGTAGTTTCTAAAAAGTGCTGCGATCCTGTCTTAATTCTGCATTTTTATTGTTTAAATTATACTTGAATGATCGAATGCTATATTTTTTCATAAGATTTCATCAGGATCGCAGCACTTTTCAAATACCTTAATGGTTCTATAGTTGAAATGTAAAAGCTTACTTTGATCCATAGAGTGTATGCCCTTGCACTAGATCAATTTATTAAGCCCCCCCCCCACCTTACCCTCCGATGTACTTGCGTACAAATATACGGCAGTGTCAATTAAATACGTAATATACAAAAAATATATTAATAAAATAGTGAAGAAGGCATTAAATTCAAGTTATTAGTCCATAGAATATCTGTAAATAATATTTCATTTAATTAGAGAATGCATATTTTGTTGAGAAAAATTACTTGATCTGTCTCTCACTGCATACAAACTACGTTACGTTGTAAGAAATGACATCATATTGACAAGTGTATTGCGATCAGTGACTTGTTTATAACTTATTGTGTTGGATTTAACTAACGACAAAACAACACGCTGTAGTAAGTTTTATGTAGTTTGATGATTTCTAACTGGTAAGATTAGCAGATAAACTCATTTTGTGGTATTTTAAAGAAATGTTGCATGACGTATATTGTGTATGATGTCATAGTCAAGTTTTCCCGTACAAATTAGGCTCCGCCTCCTTTTTGTAACCTTAACTGTGCTGCGTTGTTAAGTTCCTGGAGTGTTCGAAAATAAAACTTCGTTGTTAACATAAGTGTTGACTAGATAGAAGTCAAGAATGGCTTAGGCCTATTGGTACGAAAGCTTGTAAATGATAGGAATCACGAGGAATCTGCAGGCGCACTTAAATTGCATAGTTATACGACTTTTTTAACCAATATATGCACACAATGTGATTCCAGATGATAAAGTTTGAAAACTTTCTTGCTAATAGAATGACCTTTATACCCTAAAAGACAACAAATCTATACGCGGTCACGAAATAAAGAGCTACATATCTTTAATATCATAGATTTTTTATACCCCCTCCCTCCCGCGCTTGAAAAGCAGGAGGGTATAGAGTAATCGGTATGTCTATCTGTCTGTCTTTTACGCTTTGATATTACTTTTTGTTCCAACACATATTTTGGGTTTCACATAGCAAAACATGGACACTGTCATTATCATATTGATATGGAAAAGAGGGAGTATCATTTAATGAGCTAATTGCTCACATTACCTATACTTCATTTTGCATAAGGTTTTGGAAAACAAAATAGACTTTTAACATTTGAACATAACTGTGTTGTTCCTTGAGTGTTGATTGATTGATTGATTGTATATTGTTTAATGCCGAGTCGGCAATATTTTAACCCACGTTTCGGCGGACTATCAGTTAAAATAATCGGATTGGCGGCCCCCATTGAGCTTACTCTTTTTCGAACTCCAGAGAAACGATCTTTTACGTGCCAAATGGGTTGTCATCTCTGACACGGGGCACCTATTTGGGTGTTGAAAATACCAAGATTTCGAGGACAGACTAAAACATTCAAGGGCTGTTCGGAAATATTGAGACAATTACATTTGCTCCATAATTGACAGAGATACTTACATGAAAATTCATCAACATTTTATAAAGAACGAACAAAGCACTAACAAAATTTCTTATCCCTATGGTTATTAGATAAGTTTCGGTAAAATAATAAGCATGCATATATATATCCCTCAACCCGGAGCAGCATCACTTCGTCATTTAACGTCACGTCAGCCGGAGATGGGTTTGCACGCGAAACAATAGGGAAGCGTTTTATTCTCTTCCTTCTTTGTTAATATATATATATAACAAAAATCAATCAGTCTATTTTCTTATACTATTCTTTAAAAAAGTATGTTGTTGCTACTATCAGTGAATTTGTTTTTATTTGTGGGAAATGGTGACTTAGAATCACGCAGTGCAGATTTATGCAACACAGGTTGAACACTGTAACGATATCAATACCGTACGTAATAACTCATAGTCGTCCAGAGCTTTTAATTTTACTCTGGTTGAATTAATTGTAAATAAAAATGTATCCCAAAGAAATATCAAACAAATGTGAAATAACACGAAATTTTTTTTTTCGTTATTATTGTTTTAGCAGGTCGTTCAGTCTGGGAAAGAGTTCGACAAAATTTTAGGGATGCTGGTTGATCCGCTCTTGACGTCAAAATCCATTTTGTCGTAGTAAGCAGATTTCACTACCACGCTGAATTTTTTTTTTTACGATCTCCGTATTTGTGATCAAAATTCTATCAAGGTTGCACAACATAGATTTGAAATAACGCTAAAAAATTATACACTTAACTTAAATTATTTTCGCTCTTATTATGGATCCAGGAAGAATGTAAATAATGGTGTTACAAATTTTCAATATCTCATTTCGTGACTGCTCCGGGTACACCTACTATTGACGCAGTTATATATCATTGTAGAGAAAATATTTAATATTTGCAAAATATTCTTAGTGTCTGTCAAACGTACATGCAAATTTTTGACCGAAAAACGTTTAATAGAAAGCAAAACATACACAGTGTCTCAATAATTTTCGAACAGCCCTCGTATAACAAATAAAGCTGGAATAAAAGATGTTAGGGGATAATACTAAGTTCTTATAAGTGCTGGACTAATCAATATACT